TGAATTACATACTTGTCTAACATTAGACTCCAAAAGGGCTCCAATAATATCCGCGATTTCCATAAAGTCTGGCCTATCTTTAGGTTCGGCTCTCCAACAGAGACTCATTAATTCATAACTAAATTAAGAAATTAATACTTAATATAATTTCATATAAATATTAAATGTAAAATGAACTGACATATCGTTTGGAGCAAAATCTGGTTTTTCCATTCGATAACCAGTTTTTAAACGCTTATAAAATTCTTCATCAATTTCAATACCGGGATAAGGATTACCCCCTAATGTAAAAAATTCATACAACAAAACACCGAAAGACCAAACCTTTAAAAGTAAATTTATATTAACAATCAAAGCGACACAAAATACAAATTATAATCATTACATCGCTCTTCGAAGTAAAAACTTTGTCTCTAATCGACTCAATGGCCATCCATTTAATAGGAAGCGGTCCATCATTTTTCTTCACGTAATTATCATATTTATAGACATCTTTAGCTAAACCAAAATCACAGATCTTAACGATATTGTCTTCGGCCAGCAATACGTTTCTGGCGGCCAAATCTCTGTGTATGAGCTGTTAATTATAGTTTTATCATAAATACAACAAAAATCGGGCACAAATCAAATGTGGAGACAGACCTTCCTGTGGGCCAAGTATTGCATTCCTCGCGCGCATTGAAACGCAAAACACAGTAAATCACAAGTCGTAACCAATTTGTCTTTATTTCGCTTATGTATAGACTCTCCGCGATAACCACCGGCCGAACCATTGGCCGAACTCGAGTCCTGACCCGTCTCTTGACCCGCGCTATTGATTGTTGTGATGTAACCGTTAGTATAACTACCGCTTGATTGTTGATTATGCATAATGTCTGCGTAACGGACGCTCTCTTTCTTTATATTTATGGACGCGATTTGCGAAGAAGTGGTATAATTAGGATTTGTTATACCATTCACTGCAAACACATTCTCATAGTTAGGAGATTTTGAGTTAATCAGATTCGACTGTTTTCTCATGTCTTGTATTGTTTTGATGGCCGGATCTATATTTCCTGTCATTGTATTTAATTGATTGACATATGAATCCCTATAAGCGAGCAAATAGTGGCGCAAATTCCCGAACTTGCAGTACTCGACAATCACAAGGAGTTCCCCTTTGACCAAGTTTTTGGTCACCGCTCCCAATAGATTCACTATATTTAGATGTCTTCCCAAATGTATCAGAATTTTTAACTCAGCCATCAATGCTTTCCTTTGCGTTATATCAGCCCTTTCTGTGAAGTAATAAATTTTATTAAAAATTTAATTTTATAGATTATAAATACAATGTCTAGGTTTAAGAATTTGCAATACAATTTCACTTTGTATACAATATTATATGTACAAACCTTTGAGCATTTTGACGGCAACTGTAGTTGAAATATCTCCATCTTCGAGACCAATCGCTTCCGCTTTAACCACTCGACCAAAAGCTCCCTGTCCTAAAGTACGGCCTAACATAACAAATATAACACTTCATAAATCACTACTTTTTATGAGATTTTAAGATTCAAACCTAATTTAAGTCTCTCTTTGGGAAACTCATATCTGGGATCGTAAGGCAATAATTCAATTTGTTCGTCGAGAGGCATATCGGGGTTAAACATCTCTATTTGTCCCGTTTCGAAGAGATTGTGCGATAGGAACTCGAGTTCACGCTTTTGTTTCTAATAATTATGGCATAAATTAAATCTCAAAGCAATTTACATGTAATTCATTAAACTGCTTACCCTTTCCTGTCTGATCTTTTTGCCGATATATATGGCCATAAATATCATGACAGTTCCGACCACAACGAACAGCACAAACACAATAATCTCTTCAGTGCTGAGTCCGGAAGTGGTGTCTTCAGGACTGTCTACTTTGAGTCGAGCGCTTCGCTTAACAGTACCGCCGCTATTGTGTGCTTCGCATTCATAAAGACCCGAATCTTTGTCCAGAATTCGCGTAAACGTCAAGATTTGGTTTCTGTCCTCCAATTTAATGCCAGTATTTTCGGTCACAATAAATGGCTTTTTATTCCTATACCAAGTGATCACTGGTTTAGGTCTTCCCCTAACCATACATCGCAACTCCAATTGAGTGTATGGAGTCTTCTCTATCACATTGTCTTTCATATTAGACTCAATCATAACCGGCGCTGATATGTCTATA